GGCTCAAATGAAAGCTCTCAAGCAAAGAGGACTGCCAGGGGCACCTTTCCGCATTGGTGAAAATTCGGTTCTGAAGGTACCTCAGAGGAAGGGCTTGGGCCAGCTTGCGGGCACCCAATTCGAATGTACGCCATTCTCAAATAGACAGAGGGATGGCCTGCTCCACCCTGCTTGCCGCACCAGTGTATCACCAATCAGATTCGGAGGAGTAGGAGCAATGGAATTTTTGCCCCGTGTGTCCTGAAAAAGCCCCATTTGAGTAGGTACCCAGAAAGTTGATCAAGAAGCACGTGGAAAACTGATAATAAATTGAGAAGAACGACGAAATACGTTCTATTCTACTGATGTTTCAATAGAGAAACTATGTTATGTTACACTATGCAACAAAAAAACCAAACAATAAAAGAAAAACCTTCTTTGACGATGGAAAAGCCTTCCAGAGTCGGAGTGATATCCGTGTCCGGGAAAGTGGCGAAATGGTCGCTCATTGGAGGTTCATCGTACTCAGCTGATCGTTCGTTACCGTAGTAGGTCGTATTGTCCGAAACCATTTCCACTCGCTCCAGGCGTTCCTCTACGGAAAACTCGTCCGATATATGTCGCTTCTGTATAGTGCGAGGACATCGTGGTGGCTAGAATTACTATTTTCTGTTGCTCAAGAAGAGGATCGCTCAAAAGGCTGCAAGAGCTTCTGCAAAAGAAAGAAACTGACGATTTTGCGTATACATTCGTCGTCAGTTCGATGACAAAAGGAGAGCATACAGTTAAAGTAGACACGACGTGACTTTGTAAACCTGAAACTCTGATTAAGTCTTTCCAAAGCCTGGCCAAACCTTTGATGAACCTCAATCGGCGGAGAACAAGTCCCCTTCCGAAATTGCCGAAATTGTTACGGTATTTGTTCGTTTAGGGAGGTATTACCACGATAAAAAGAAGCTTGATGAATGCTAAGTTATCCAAGTGGCGCCGCTACCACATGTACTGAATGAGTACCAAACAGAAGATTGAGAACCCGTCAGCGAGGATCGAGCCTTCTGTCCCTCCCGGAAACACTGCTTGGTGTTATGTTTGTCTATGAGGATAAAAGCCTTGATTTGTACGCAGACTAGCAACCGCCTGTTGATTGACACCAAAATTTTGCTTTCATTTTTATTCCCCATTTTAATTTCATGGCAGGCTTATTTAAAAACTAGAACCCTAATTTACTAATCTTCGGTCATGTTAATGTTACTGAGTGGGTGAATTTGTATAAGCCCACTGAACAACCTCTGAAGCTAGCAGATGTCCAGGTCAAGTGTTTCATTTCTCTGAAAACCCGCAACAAATAAGATCCTTAACGTAATCTTCAAAAGATCCTTGTGCCATTTTCAATATGCAGCCGCCCTTCCCGACTAACCCTTGAAAAACTAATCTAATTCCTTCCTTCATACACGATGGTTCAAGAAACTAACTTATTTTTCGGAAGTAACTGAGAAATCACTACTGGGAATGTGTGAAAACTGTGTGAAGAACTTCGAGAAAACTTTTGTTCTGGGTCCCTCTTTTTACTGATTCTCCCTTCCTCGTCTTGGGAGCGCTCATTTACGTTTTCTTTTCTTTTGCAAGGCCCTCGGTTACGTAAGACGGTTTTATTCAGTGTGTCCATCGCTGCCGAAGACCAAAAGGTTCGCTTCTTTCAGAGTTAGGAGATCTGAGGCTCAGAGGAAGACGATTTTGTCAATCTCGACCTGTCTGAGTTTGATATTGATGTCCACGTTGCAGAACATGGGTGCTATCATATACATAAATATCCTTTAGAGTGTACGAAAGTGTCAAGCGCTCATTCTTTTCTCAAGGGAAATCTATTTACTTCACCCAGCATTGAAGTATGAATGAACTATGAAAGTGAGTAATAAGCTAGGAGTAGAAGGAAAGGAAAACAACATACCGTTTTCATCACATTTAATGGGTAGTTGAAGCCGGCAGTTCTTGGATGAACTACGTGGCCATAACGGGGTAGACATTTCCGCTTCGCATATTCAACACTTCGCGCTGCAGCGCGAATTCCACGATCTGTCCCTACAGGAAATAGCAGTAGCTGTAAAAGTCCGTAATCTTCTTCTAGTTCATGGTGACGCTCACTCGCCAAAGCCACAACTTATCAGCTGCGAAGCCGAACCCTTCAAAAAATATTGCGGGAAGTCGCTAGTACAGAAGCAATTTGCTTAAAACTCACTTCGGCAAAGGGCTAGTGGGCTTCGGCATTGGGGGGTAGCGCAGAAGGTTTTGGCCATCCATAACAGAAAACATCACCGGTGTTGAAGTTTTACTACAGAAAATTATAAGTTTAGATGAGTACCTAAGTTCGACTCTCAACAAATTTTGCTTTGGCTGTTGAAAAGTTTCCGTGAGAGTTTTGATTAAACCTGCCACCACGATGACAAACAAGCTTCGACTTAGTTTGGCTTTTCCGTCTTCGCCAGGTTCTTAAGAGACGACCTTTCTGTAGTCGATCACCGCTAAACGAAAATGTAACTCGAACAAAAGTTTGTCTGTCATCTTGGTCAGGTTTTAACGAAACCCTAATACCCGAGACCGAAATATAAGTTTTGGAAGTTTCTGTTTCCAGCTTGCTGCTTATCTACAAGACATAATAAAAGCTAGCACTGCTAACCAAGCCAAAGCCGCTTTGCCAAGAAGATCCTCTGTAAAGTATAGGCTAAGTTCGAGGAAAACCCCAAAAAGCAGTACATTTACGACTGTATTACGATGCCTTGGCAAACAGAATAAGGTGTTTTGTCGATCCTCGTTGTTGTTGCACAATTGAACAATTGAAAAATCTGCCTGAACGTATTCGATGACAACATTGAATAACCGTCGTTGTAGTTCGATTTGTCGGCTTGCAGATCTTCTGAGTGCAAGCCAGTGTTCTTCTAGAGCTAAAAGATTGTCTTTAAGACGTTCAGGCCGCACATTGAAAAATGCCGCCTCTTATAAGGCTTCTATCGGAGACATTGCGTTTGAAAATCTAATGCTTCCTTACAATGATCAGCGCACATGCGCTTGCGCTGAGACGGGCAGTCCTCGAGCAATGTCCGCGCACGTGATAATTCTATTGAGTTTTGTTCCAGTGACACGCTCAATAGAATCATTATATTCTTTCGCGGCCTTGCTCTAACGAACGTGCTTTCTTCTCCACTCACGCCGCACGAGGTGCATATCTTCATGATACCTGCAGAGAACTTTGCAGGTACTTGCATATGTGCTTGCGCTTATGCGCTTATTTTGACTGTCCTTGAGCAGTTTCCGCGCCCATGATAATTCTATTGAGTTTTATTCCAATGACACGCTCAATAGAATCATTATATTCTTCCGCGACCTTGCTCTAACGAACGCGCTTTCTTCTCCGCTCACGCCGCGCAAGGTGCATAGCTTCATGATAGCTACAGAAAACTTTGCAGGTACCGTGCTTGCGCTTATGCGCTTATTTTGACAGTCCTTGAGCAGTCTTCGCACCCATGATAATTCAATTAAATGCTCCTCCAACAGTGCTCACAGAATATCATCACATTCGTTTGTGACCGTGGGCGACAAAACACGCGTTCTTTTCTATGAGCACCACAGAGCCGAGAAACTTTGGTGGCACCTGCAGAAGACCGTTCCAGTTATTCAACAAGAAGCTGGAATTCTCCAGAAGCTGCTGCCGTGTTCTTCCGTTCTCCTCACGCGAACATCTTAAAATCATAGTCCCAGTATACGTGGTTGCCCGGTGATCAACTACCATTCCACTTATTTGAGCTTCTGCCGAAAAAGTAGTAACAGACGATGACCGAGAACGGCAAATGGTTGTAAGCGCCGGTAAAATCACTCGTATCACTAGTCGAGCGAGCGCCAGTGACGTCTCCATTCGTCCCTGCCACGAGCCAGAGTGGTCCAGTGGATCGTCCTCGTTTCAGGGCACAAGGCTTAGCATTCCTATCGTTCAGAGCTTTCGTAAAGAATCTCATTCATCTCGCCATCTCCTTAGGGGCCGTCTTGGAGTCGTTCGACTTCCCGATTGATCCAGTCAGTAACCGGCTGGTCCGACGGTCATCACTATTTCGCATTATGTGTCCAGCCCACCTGACCTTCGATTTCTTGGCGTAATCATAGCATCCTTGATCTTCGTTCGATGACGGAGCCCGAGACTCCGGTTCCCTTTTTGCACTTGCGTGTATGGAGAAGTTCCTGGCATCATCCCTTCCACAGCACGTTTAATAAAGCTGATAGCATGCTCATCTTGCTTTCGTGGAGTCCAGGTCTCCCTGGCGTCTCAGACTCAACCTGAACAGCGAGCACCACAAGCAGAGAGGGCAAATCGGTTCACTCTCTTTGCCGGAGAGCAATAATCAACAGCAGTATTAATAATCAGCAATAGTTCAGTAGTTCAGCAATAATCAGCAGCAGTAATAATAATCAGCAATAGTTCAGTAATTCAGCAATAATCAGCAGCAGTATGAATCGTATAACTCCCGCTCTCAGCGCGACGTCCATGCAATAATTGATTCTGAAGGTGATTTTTTAGAGTAAACAATGCCCAGTAACTACTCCAGGAAGTTGTTAATTTTGCGTCTGCCTTGAGGTTGTTAGGTGGGAATCTTTATTCTGGCAACGTTTTCACAGACTCGTCGTTTTTAAAGGCCTGAAAATGGTTCAAAGCTTGTTGTTTGCGCACTACCCCATCAAGCGCCTGCTTCGCTCTAGCGTTTCTGACGTTCTATCAGGAATGCACGGAAAATGCACGAAATTCGAAAGTAGGCTCACCTCACTTCCACCGCGAAGTGTAGCACTACGCTACACGGTTGGTACATTAGTAGCGAAAGATCTTACTTGGCTGTCCTCATGCATAATATTATTATTACGGATTAGCACGTTCGCGGATTATGGGACTAACTCGCAGTGTTGCATAAATGGCAAGAGTTCATTTTTGATTGTGACACACTCATTTTGGCTTCATATCTGGATTTCTAGCTAAAATCCGGAGCGCTTCCGACGCTCTCCCCGACGATATTTCCGTCTCGTGAGCCAATAATATACACCTGATGTTGAAAGCATTGCCACCATGCTGTTCCACACTGTACTTCCCTAACGGAGTTACCACATCATCGCGCCGTTTGCCGACAAGGTGCTCTTCCATTCTCACTGATGAAACTCTTGCAGTTCCCCTATGCAGCTTGGATTACATGCCTCACATTGGATCTGACAAATTACGCCTTCAGAAGCGCAATCTCCATTTTCCCGTTTGGAGATGTAACGCAACCCTCTGTCAAACTGCGTACCGTAGAGTCTGTTCCTCACAAGTTGGCGTTTGATGCAATTAGGCGGAAAGTTAACTAAAATATCATCATCGCTCAATTGTGCTCGAACAATACACCGTTGCATTGCAGCAGATACCTTGTCAGGGATGAGCGATAAACACAGAGGAAGATTGTATTTGCGCGAAGTGTTTCTCGTGTCAACGTGAATTTTCCAGTGTTATAATTTGATTAGCCATTCGACCGAGCTGTAGCCGAGGCTAATCGTCTTGATTCTT